AACTCAAAATGGATTTTGAAATTCAAAAAATTATAATTATTTAAACACATTACAAAAATCCAGTACTGAAATATGACAGTGGAAGCTTAGTGGTTATAGTTACGAACAGGTGGCCAACGTGTCGAGGGTTCGAGTTTTGATGCCGCTAAAGAACCGCAGTGTAGAGAAGGCTAATACACAATAAAGCTCAAAGTCCACTCGTCGGGGTGGTGTGGTAGCTTAGACAGGGGTGTTGTCCTCGTTTCTTGATTGAGGTTAAAAATTTAAGGTCCTTCACCTATAGCGTTGATGTTTCTTTATAGCGTGATATCAATATAATACTCAAGTCAAAGCATTAATATAATACTCTTCAATACTCAGTTGTTAATTTTAAAGAAGGAATGCTTCAAAAACGTAGCATATAAACAAGTAATTCATAAAAAATTGGTCTGTTCCAACCGCAATGAATGTTATGAAAAGTACTATTTTGTGAACGGAATTTGAGATTTTTTTTATTTATTTAGAACGCAATTTTTTTAGCCTAGATGTGAAGATCTCTGACAAATATAAATTTGTATCAAATCAACAGCCACTAAATACTTCAACTAATGTAAACTCTCAGAATTTTTTTTTCTGTTCTAACAGAAAGTCGATGAAATTTTATATCAATTTCAGATTCAGGTTAAAAGGGATGCAGCATCTCTAGAAACTTAGGTCTTCTTTTCTTAGATCTAAGAATGGAAATCACCGCTTATGATGTCATATCTGGAATGCCATTGATTCTGAAGTACATCTCTTGCTGAACAATGCCACGCTTTGACGGTTCAATAAATAGGTATGTCATGGACGTATAAAGCGGGAGGTTTATGAGAAAGATCAAAGAAAGAGTAATGCCACCTTATATAAAAGAAGAAAAACAGAATTTAGGAGTGTTTATTTTTAGGTATATTTACAATTATTTATGAGAAAAATAGTATTGATATGATTTTAGATAATAGGTGAGAGTTTTGGATTTCCGAAACTGCTCGGATTGCTTATGAAAAATGTAATGAATGAGTTTATTAAAAACATCTGCTATATTTCCATAATATTTTGAAGTTGATCTGGATTAGTATAGTAAACGAAGTTAAAATATACCTGAAACGTTATTTATGTATGAGATTATAACTCGAAACAAACTAAAACATTTTTTTAAAAAAGAATATAGTATTTTTACATACAATTCACAAAAGTGATTTTGCAGCACCATGAAGAAAAATGTGCATCATTAATACATAATAAGTGAAAATATTTTGCAAATTTACTCGAATCTAAGCAACACCCTAAATTCTCAAAGTGCTTTTAAAAAAAAAATGTCATCGATTCTAAGCCACACTCCCAATTCTCCACACGTTTTTGAAAAAATAATTGCAAAAGGTTCATCAAAAACCAATTTATATATATATTGAAAAAAAGTTAATCAGAAGTTAAAAGCAGTTACTAAATAATTTATTTCATCAGTATTAAAAACTTCCATATACGTACAGGAACCTATAATTACTAGTATAATGTTTCGAAAATAATTCGTCACTCCTTTGTCACCCAATTTCAGAATTCGTGCCGGCTTCGCCATTTTTCTACACGGTGACATATTCCTACCATCCAATGTATTTGTTACGCAACATTTTTTAAAAAAGAATGCATTATGGAATAATGTAAAATACTTAAAAAAGAATGTTGAGTATTTTCAATAAAAAATGATATTTTGTTTACGTCATCGACGTATATTTGTTTTACCCGTGTTAATTTTCAGTGGCCGCTTTACAGTTTCCATTATTTTTTCTGCGTTAAAATTGCCTCCCTTTTTAAAAGCTTTTATTACACAAGCTTTTATTTAACTTGCAATGTAAAATGTTCGGGTTGAATCTTGCATCTCAATTTTGAAGCTGATGTATTCAACCAATTGAGCTGAAAATTTGTATACACGTTTAGTTTGGATGACAATGCACGTTTTTGACGTGTTATACTCCGATATCACAATTAGTTAAAATATATTAATTGCAGTAATTTGTTCGGGTGGAATCTTGCAACTCAATTTTGAAGCTGGTGTTATCAACTGATTGAGCTGAAATTTAGTATACGCGTTTAGTTTGGATGACAATGCATGTTTTGATGATTTATATTCCGATATCGACCTAGTTACTGTAAAGAGTTTGTTAAGGTGTTCAGGCGAGCATGCTTACAATAACATAAAAGTGCGGGCAGGGGGCATAGCTCAGATGGTAGAGCGCTCGCGTAGCATGCGAGAGTCCGATTATTATTTTTTCGTGTAAAATATTTTTGAAATTCGTTTGATTTATACAACGTGATGTTTTACAATACTTCCACTCAGCATACGTACAAATTATGTTATATTTTTACTGTTCTTGAGAGAACAGTAAGAAAGGCAGATCTATAAAGCGATTTCTATTTACTTTGAAACACACATTCTATGATATATATTTACTCGATTCTAGTTTTTCCCGTATCACTTTTTAATTTACCTAGTCACTTTAACGATCTTTTTTAAGAGTTAAGGCGAGCATGTTTACAATAACATAGGTGTCGGCCGTGTGTGTAGCTGAGATGGTAGAGCGCTCGCTTAGCATGCGAGAAGTACGGGGATCTACACCCCACGCCACCAATTATTATTTTTTCGTATAAAATATTTTTGAAATTCGTTTAATTTTTACAACGAGATATTTTACAATACTTCCACTTAGCTTACGTACAAAGTACGCTATATTTTTACAAGCTTTTATTTAACTTGCAATGTAAAATGTTCGGGTTGAATCTTGCAACTCAATTTTGAAGCTGATGTCTTCAAACGATTGAGCTGAAATTTTGTATACACGTTTAGTTTGGATGACAATGCAAGTTTCTATTCAATAATACGAAAAAAAAATTCATACGGAACGATTTAGAAATCATTTGCATGAAAACGCATCAATTTTGACTCATTTTAGAAAAAATTGTAAAAAATAGAAAATATCATTATTTTTTAAAAAAGAATTATAAAGTTTGCAAGAGATTCCATCCGAAAAAATTGCTTCAATTAATATCTACACTATTAAAATTCGAAGGTAAACAAACGTATGCGACTATAAGACTAGGTGCATTTCTCACGAACCGCACGACGCAAAACTCGCTGACGGTACCAAAAGATTGGGAATGATCCAAGGAATCCGTTTTGACCATTTATATTCCAAAAGTGCAATTTGTTAATGAGATATTAATTAAAAACCTTAAAATGCATAATTATTGCCATTTTTTCCGACCAGGCGGTGAAGTTCCAATTTTCCGATTTTTTTTTTATCCCAAACGTTTTTAGAACACAATCTAATGTTTTTATGAGACTCAGACCAAAAATAATTACAGAAGAGGAAAGAACATTTACTTCACTTCAGTACCGTATAGTTTATTTTACAAAATAATGATATATTTTTTTATTTTTTACGATTTTTTCTAAAATCAGTCAAAATTGATACGTTTTAATGAAAATAATTTCTAAATCGTTCCGATTGCATTTTCTTTCACGTTATTAAATTATATTTTACACTCTTCTCTTTTAGAATCAGTCATTCAAAAAATAGAATGTCAAAAACGGTTTTTTTTTCGATTTTTCAAAAAATACTCAACATTTTTTTAAATTCTTAATAATTTCTTTATTTATAAAACTAATCCCATGAAATATTTTTTCCGTGAGTAGAACAATATTATCTGCAATCTGTATAAAGGTTGAAAAAATTGCTTAAAAATTAAGTTTTAAAAAAATTGTGTTTTTCGTTTTTTTTTCCTTTTTGTGAGAAATATTTAAGCATTAATTTTGGTACATTTTTGGTTTAAAAATTACCATTGTTTGTAATCGATATATGAAGTTTGAAGGCATTAACTTAAAAATGAAGGCCGAAAAATAATAAAACTTTAACAAATAACGCAATGTGAAATTTAATATTTCTTCCTTTTATTTCAACGGTCTTTTATTTATTATTTTCCGAAGATTTCGTGGACTGGTCGCATAGAGCGCTGGAGTAGTAACTTTTGTACCCGGGTTCAAAATAATATCAATGCTTGCTTTTCATGATTTTTCTTATAAAAATATTAAAAGTTTTATTCGCGCATTTAATAACTTCGCCAGCAATTTTGTAATTGGAAATATAATTTATTTCGCCACGATACAGTATCTTTTTTTTTAACAGAACAATGATACTTTACATATTTTATGATTTGTTTCTAAAATGAATCAATATCGATACGTTTATATGAAAATGATTTTTAAAACACTCATCCTTTGATCTTTACAGTTAATGATTTAAAAAATAAAATGTCAAAAACTTTTCTTTATGAATTTCATTTGTGCAATAATTCATTACTTTTTGTGCCACTATATGGCTACGCGTGTCAAGCTGCTTAAGAATCTTGGTGAATGGTCACTTACTCAAGTGCTTTGATAGGAGCGGAAGGGGATTTCCATGACAATATGTTATGCATTTAAAAATTTTCGCGCAACGCCGGGGGGGATAAATCTGTCTGAAAAGAAAAGAAGCGAAAAAATTTCGAATTTTAAGTTATACACTCGGTTTAAGTCGCAGCATTGCAGGGCTACGCGGAGGAGGGGTGGAAGTCATTTTGAAAAAGAGTATTAGAAGTGCTCATTTTGTGAAGGAAAGGGAAAATTTATAAAAGTAGAGAATGCCCGTGCAACGTTGGCCATGCAGCTAGTCTTTTTAACTAATTTCGATATAGGAATATAAATGGTCCAAAACATGCATTGTCATCCAAACTAAACGTGTATACAAAATTTCAGCTCAATCGGTTGAAGACATCAGCTTCAAAATTGAGTTGCAAGATTCCACAGGAACATTTTTTACATTGCAAGTTAAATAAAAGCTTGTAAAAATATAGCATACTCTTTGTACGTATGCTGAGTGGAAGTGATGTAAAATATCTCGTTGTACAAATGAAACCAATTTCAAAAATATTTTACGCGAAAAAATAATAATTGGAGGCGCGGGGTATCGATCCCTGTACTTATCGCATGCTAAGCGAGGGCTCTACCATCTGAGCAACGCCCCCGGTCGACATCTGTGTTACTGTAAACATTCTCGTCTTAACACCTGAACAAAATCGTTACAGTGACTTGGAAAATTAAATGTAATACGGGAGAAACACTAGAATCGAGTAAATACATATCATAGAATGTTTCAAAGTAAATAGAAATCGCTTGATAGATCTGCCTTTATTGCTGTTCTCTCTAGACGAGTAAAAATATAACATACTTTGTACGTATGCAGAGTGGAAGTATTGCAAAACATCACGTTGTATAAATCAAACGAATTTCAAAAATATTTTACATGAAAAATAATAATTGAGGCGCGGGTTGTAGATCCCCGTAACTCTCGCAAGCTAAGCGAGCGCTCTACCATCTGAGCTACGCCCCCTGTCCACGCCTTTGTTATTGTAAACATGCTCGCCTTAACACCTGAACAAGCTCATTACAGTAACTAGGTCGATATCGGAATATAAATCGTCAAAACATGCATTGTCATCTAAACTAAACGTGTATGCAAAATTTCAGCTGAATCGGCAGTAGACATCAGCTTCAAAATTGAGATGTAAGTTTCCACCCGAACATTTTACATTGCAAGTTAAATAAAAGCTTGTAAAAAGGTCGAGTACCCCCACCCCTCTTAGCTGGACTGTTCAATATTTACTGGCAAACGACCTTGCTACAATAATGTGTTGAATGAGATTAACCGACTGAGAAACTTCTGTCCAGCGATAATTAAACAGTACAAAATAAATTACAAGTAATAAAAAACTTTTTCAAAAACAAGCTTTTATTTAAAAGCTCTAAAAATAATAAAATACACTTTTCTTTTTAAACCTTTTTACTATCAACTTATGTAGTCGTTACACAATGTATGATATAAAGGCTTGTCGCGAGATTTACCTGTGTAGATAAACAAGCAAATTAAATAATTTGATCTGATTGATTTCAATTTTTAAAATTTTCAAACTAAGTAAATACGAGTACTTAAATCTGCGAAAAGCTTTTATATCATAAATTGTGTAACGACTTTATAAGTTGATAGCAAAAAAAGTTTTAAAATAAATGTTTATTTTATTCTATTTAGATTATTTAAATAAAAGCTTGTTTTTGAAAAAGGTTTTTTTACTTTTAATTTTTGTAATGTGAAACCTCAATATTTATGCAATAGTTTTATCATAAATTTTATTGAAATTGTTTCCATATTATTAAATATACAGAAATTTAATTGTCAATTATTATTTAAGCAATTATTTCCTCAGTGGCTCGACAGCCCAGGGTGGGCTTTGGCCTTCTCAAGAAGCCTTTTCCGGGCCAGCCTTCTTCCTGCCAGTGTTACATGTACTTAATGGAAAATTATGCTATCATTTATTTCCAGTTAAAAATGTACTGCTTGTCTTCCTTTGGCACTAAATTTTTTAAAGTTTGGAATCTGAAAATCTAGTTACGTTACATTTACAGCCCTTGATCATGAAATAACTGTTTGCTCTGGGCAGTGTTATCATGAGTTACAAATAAATGGAAATCTCGTACATTATTCATCTTTAGGATGTCCATATCAATGTATTTTAATTTATTCTCGCGAGTAGCCTCATTAATATCTGTGTTTCTTGTAATATGGTAGTAGTTTACATCTATTTGAGAACTAAAACGAAGTTTTGGAATTGCAATTTCCCATTTAATCAGAACATTTATGGAGATGTCGTGGGACTCGTGTAAAAAATTAAACATTATTATTGAATGCACTAAATTACAATTTAGAATTGGTTTCATATATAAGTTTTTTGCATTTGAAAAAAGCATGTATATATTTACAGAGAAAGTTGTTGAACGCAATAATTCATAGCTTTTAAATTTGACAGGTTAGTTTAGTATTTCCGTAATCTAATCCTTATTGACTCTCAGTAAATAACTAACTAAAAAACAAGAGCATCTTAAGGATGCCTTTGCCAAATGTACGAGGCCGCGGTAGCCGAGTGGTATAGGCATCGGATCGTGGTTGGCTTTGTCACGAGTTCGAGCCCAGTACCACTGAAGACCCGCCGTGTAGGGCAGCGATGCACGCTAAATCTGTCGAGAGCTGAAATGTCCTCCCGTTGGTGTGGTGTGGTAGTTAGGAGAGGGGGGTGCCAGCTCAGGTGTCGTCCACGTCACTTGACCGTGGTTCAAAATTACGTGGTCCGTCGCCAAAAGCCCTCGTGCAGCTGAACAGTGCGACGTTAATCTTCACTCACTCACCAAATGTACGAGAGTCTGAACTAAACGTGGCGCTTATTTTCACACAAACAGAGAAATGCTTCAATTTTCACAAAAATTAACAGCATTATAATTCATACATCTATTTATATTACAACGTTTTTAAAATTTTAAAATGTTCCTTAGATACTTTTTTCTTTTAATAAGTAAAGGGATAGCTTATATTTAGCATTACAGTATAGGAGAAAAAAACGCAAAACACATTTTGTACCAGAAAAATGAGTCAACTCAGGCAAAAATGAGTAATATATAATATTCTGCCCTTTATATAGGATAGTGAGGCCAGAACATAACATTAATTTAAGAATATTTTTTTAATAAAGATATCTGATCTTTCTCAGATATGAAAAAATATTCCAATTTTTGTGTGACCTATTCTTCCACATTAAGCTAAGACAACCTTTAAGTTCCAAGAGTTGTCTTCCCTCCAGAGGGGTACTAGATCTGCCACATTTCCCTCACTAACGCACCTCATTCTCTGCAGTCTAAATCATCATTATATCGCGTTGTTGAGGATTCAATTGCATACCACTGATGTTGAAACAGTGCCATTTATTTACTAACCACACATTTATTGAATATGGGGTAATAGTTCTAAAAGGTAAAATACATTTATTGTACTATTGATGAAATGTTGAATATATCATAGTTATATAACTGTGATTATGTAACATCTGACTGGATTAGGTTATTATTCTGAGCACGTAATATTGATGACAATAAACTTGTAATACATATCAATATGGAGCATCAAATTCTACAGTGAGAGAAAGCAGATGGATTGGTATATATATGTATCGTAATATGGATAACATCAGGTGAACTGCTTCAATGTTATAATAATTTGATTCATATGAGCACTTGTTTGCTACATTTTGTGTTAAAACGGAATTATCTCTGTTATTTGTAATTTTGAGGAAAATGTGAGATATTTTTCGTTTACAATTGTGCCTAAAAATAAAATTTCCTCAATATTACAAATAAAATTTTGGTCTTTGAAGCATATACACTTGTTTCCTAAAAGATTTGTCGATGGTTAGAGACAAGAGAAAAAAATTAATACAAAGTATGTACTGGAAAAAATAAATTGTTTAATTTCTTTTGCATTGCTAAGTGTAACTATTTACCACAAATAATATCGCTATGTAAAGAGGTTCATGCACATTAAATCTGTCGATACTTCTCATGCTGGCATAGAGTGGAGAGTTTTAGAATAGGGTGTTAAATAAAGTGTTGTCTCTGTTGTTTGGCTGTGACTCAGAGTTACGAAGTTTGTTGCCAATAGATTCGTGTATCTTCGAAATGTCACGTCTATAAATAATTACTTCCACTAATCAATATTTATAATAAGAAATTGTTTAATAAAGTTATTATAATCAGTCTCTTATTCTGAAAAGAATTCAAGAGAGAGAAAACAGACTTAGGAGAGATTGAAAGAATATATCACAGATTATTAAGGAATCTTCAACACATTTGCTAAAGCTGAATCTTTTCCACAATAAGCGAGGTATTATTTTTAAAATAGAACTAAGCAGTAGATCATTATTTCATCGGTAATTTTAAAGCTTCTCCTAGTTACGTCACTTTCATTTTTTTAACGTAAATCTAGCTTCGTGAAAATTAATTTACACTGGCTATCATAAATTAAGGAAAAATCACAACACACACACAAAAATAGTGATAACTCGCCCAAAAATAAGCCAATCTCAATGAAATTTGAATACGTTTGCAAGTTAAAGAAACTGAACGATATTGTACTATGCAAAATATTGGCAATGCAGTCGGAATGTGTCATTTGCAAGGATCCTAAAAATGAATTTCTCAGAGCAAGGTGGCAGATGTCGCTGCGTGTCTGATCTTAGAAATCTAGTAGAGCGAAATTCTAACAAAGACCTCCAGGCATCATTTGACCGAAGAACTGCAAGGGCGAGCTATTGGGAGACTAGAAGCAGTACAAAGATAGATAGATGTGTTTAAATGTGATTAAGGTCTGTAATTCTTAGGGTTTGGCAACAATTCCTAACTACGGCATCGCATTCAGGAGGTTCAGCCAAGGTCGGCCACGCACTACCACAAATGCCGATAACTGACATTTGTCATCATGCGTACGAAGGAATTGAATCCACTGCACGCGTGATTAATGAAGAGCTGTTCTATTTATGGATAAGTCCAGGTTTAGCCGCAAAAGCGATAGCATGGCGTATTTTCATTTGGAGAGAACCTGGAGCTCGTTTCCATCCATAACACTTTCGTGAAAGAGGCAGTATCTGTGTTTCGGGTGGTATTTCTTTGGACGGGCGCACGTAGTTTCTATGTCTTTTCTTGTGGAAACGTGTGTTAATGTTTACACCTATATCACCTACATAAAGAGTGTTTTTTTCAGGTATAGAAGTTTAAGTTAGCATTACTTTCCAAGATGGTGACCGATTTAACAGCTGTCAAGTGATTTATTCTCAGTTTGGTTTGGCAATTCATCAAAACGATCATCAAGCAAGGCGTAGATTCGTCGAATGGGCCCAAAACGAGATTGCCGTTGTTCCCGATTTTCATAAGCGAATTTTGTTTAGCGATGAAGAGCACTTCTGGTTGAATGGCTACGTCAACAAACAAAACTGCCACATTTCGAGTGAAGCTAATCCACAAGTGTATGTCGAAACACCGTTACATCCAGAAAAACTGACTGTTTGGTGCGCTTTATGGGCTGGTGGAATCCTTCTTCAAAAACGATGAAGGCCACAACGTTACAGTCAATGGTGATCGGTATAGAGCC